GTACAGTCCTACCTGGAAGGTGTCGACTGGGGTCTTGGTCAATTGCGAGAGGCACGAGCTGAGCTGAGAGAAGTGTCTCATGACTTGCACAAGGCTGACTTGGAGTCCAGGAAAAATTCTGAAGAAGTAACTACACTGGAGACACTTCGGGAGATTTCTGTCTCTCACCGCCAGCTCCTTGCTGCAGTTAGTAACCTACCACGCCTCTATAAAGGTTAGTGATTCCCTGCCCTTTTCAGTGCACAGGGGTGTCCAATCCTTGTCTTGGAGCCCAACATCCTCAAGAGTTTAGCTCCAACTTGTCTCAACATACATGCCTGAACATTTCTAGTTTTCCTGAAGACCTTGATTACCTTGGATCAGTTGTGTTTTTAAATTGATGATGGAGCTAAACTCTGTAGGTACAGCGACACTCCAGGAGCAGTATTGGACACCACTGCCATAGAGCTAAACATTCTCAAGTACATAAAAGTACTTGAAAACAAGCACTTCTAGCTAAGCAAGTTCAATTTTATGAGTCACTGCATTCCAAAGTGTGGTAATTAATAATGTAACACAAGTATGCACACTGCATCACCACTATGGCACTATAGTGTAAAATGTCTTGGACTCCAATTACATTTTTTTCTTTTAGGTCTAATAGCAAGGCAGAGCAAGAACCTTGCTGAGTAACAAAATTGCTATTAAGGTCGACATGTTTACAGCTAGCTAGCGAAATTGTAACACAGATCTATCACACACTTAAGTACTGAGGTTTGCCAGAGTAATGCAAGATTACACTCTAAGTATGTACATTGGGGCTATCATTTGCTATGCCATCTTTTTCATGTCAGTGCGGAGTATGGTGCTAGAGACAGAGAGACTAGTGGAGTCTCGGAGACTATTGGAAGCTCATGCTCGACTAATGGAACTAGAACGCTGGCAGGATGAGGTACTGCTACAGCTTCAGGGACCCAGGGGATCATCCAGGACGGGGTTAACCTCTGAGGATGAGGAGTTAGTGCGGAATTATTTCTCAGGCGTTGGACGCTTGGTGGATGCCCTTGCCAAGGAGCTATGGGCAGTGGTGGGGAGTGGGTTGTCACTTGCCTGTCAGAACCCCACGCTTTTTGTGTCAGCTGTACGGATAGTAGAGCGTGAAGAAGCACTAGATCAGATGTTTCTGGAGGAGCGGAGGTCAACATCGGGACAGAACACACCCATGCCCCCTGGGAGACCACGTTGCTGGAGGGACCGCTTCTTCAAGGTTTGATGATAAGCAAGTTTCCTATTGGTAGAAGTACTGGGAAATTTTTTTGTAAGATGACAACTAAATTTTAAGTGTAAAAAGGCTTTTTTAAATTCACTTAATATGTACCTGTTCTACTATTTGGTCAGGTGATGGAGGAGGCAGTGTCAGCCCGTTTCCGTAGCGTGTCGTACTTGCACACTCGTGGACCAGGGCTTGCAAGTCACTTGTCTGCTCTACAGCACTGCATTATGGGAGACCTTTCAACAGTGCGGCATTTTCTCGAACAATGTGTTCCATCTCACTACCGTCTAACAAGAACTTATCTGCGCTTCTGCCACCAGTTCTTGCAGAACCATCTTGGACTGGTTAGTGGATGGGAGCTAGAGGGTGGGGAAATCTTTGCTGTTCTTAACTGGGTTCTGCACATATACAATAGGTAAGTAAAGATTATGCTTAAATCAGAATTTGGTCTATGGGTAATCAGAAAGTCCTACACGAGAACTTGTTCTTTAAGCTCAGAGATGATGGGTGAGCCAGCCCTTGTAGCTGAGCTAGACATTGAGGACATGGGACCTCTCATATCTCAGGAAGGTCTCGAGCAGCTGCAGAATAAATATGTCCAAAAAGTTCGGGTAAGACCCAAGGAGGGGTTTTAGTCTCTAAACTTTTTAACATTTACATTATCTTGTCGGAATTAACAGGCCACAAGTTCTTGAGAAATTTTACTGTGATTGTTTGTAGAAGAGTGTCTCAGAGTGGATGCACAAGTCTCTAGAGGTGGAGCTGACAGACTGGCAGAGGGATCAGGAACCAGATATTGACCATGAAGGCTGCTATCACACCAGCCTTCCAACCATCATTGCTCAGGTAATAAAGCAATGACTTAATCTACAATAAGCAAAATTTTGGCACTGATATACATATGAACTGCTCTGGTGTCTGTGTTGTTAGATGCTAGAAGAAAATGCACGGGTGGCTTTGATGATAAGTGAAGCTCTGCGGGACCAGACAATCCAAATGGGGCTTTATGAGATGGAGAACCTCCTCAGCCGGTGTGTATAGCCTATTTAGCAATACCAGCAAATCAAAACTCTTATTGATTATATCCAACATTTTATACTTTCCTCTCACTACATCTAAACAGATTTCGAGATGCAATCATAGAATTTGGGAAGGAGCATCGCAGGGATTCAGCCATAAACAGTAACAAGTTCTACCTCCATTATCTCCTGGCCTGCATCAACAACTGCATCATCCTCAAGTGAGATGGTGTACACGTATCTTTTTACAGTATGTCTGTATTTATGTGATGTTTGTTTGAAAATGTGTGTGTTTTAAATTGTTTTATGTGCGTTGGAGGTACTTGTAAGCAGTAAATCTCTGATTTAAATGCCCATCTAGAACCTCCACAGAAAGCCTGCAGCAGCAGTTGTGCTCCTTCCCTTCAAACCGGTATTCTCGCATTTCACTTGGACCTCTGGCTGCCCTGGACCGTGCTGTGAGAAAAGCATGTCGCTTAGTCATGGACCATCTCTTGTTTGAGTTGCAACCTCATCTACAGGAGCTCCTGTCTCGTACCTGGCTGGACCAGGGAGAAGTAACCCCAAATATGTGTGGGGTTTTAGACCGTCACTGTGAACTTTACAACAGGGTGCGGCAACCTTGTCGCCAGGTTAGTGTTTACACCAGGCATTAGAAATGATGTAGACCAAACAATAAAATGAGTGAATATACTGTATTTACCCACAATGAAAAATGGCACCCAAATAGCCTTTGCATCATGTGATCTCCATTATCTACAGAGGCTAAAGGAGGAATGTCAGTGGCTAACTGTTGTTGAGTATGTCCGTACACTGATGCAGAAGAGAGTGGTCTGCAGAAATAGTGATGAGCGAAACCAGTTGGCCCAGCGAATGACACAGGATGCTGAGCAGCTGAGGGACCACCTTCAAAGCATGGTGAAAACACATTTACATTAATTTTGGGAGGAATTTTTATGTGATTTAGGAGCAAGTCTTCTGGCAAGTGCACCCAGATAGATAGATTCGGCTTTGACTGAAACAAATGCTTACAATGAGTTCAATTAAAAACATTAACAAATAATAATCAAATTATTGATTAACTGCAAACCTGAATCAAAGCTATTCATGAGAAACTGACTTGAACTTGCACAAAACCAGCAATTTATTGGATCTTATCAGGCTTGGGTCAGGTAGCAAACCTCTAGGAACAACACAAGAACAAGTCTATATGCGTTTGTGGAAATTAAATTACTCTGAGAATTTCACTCATGTAATGCCATTTTTACATTTAAAGGAAATTGATGGGACCATAGGTGAGGTGAATCCCATAGCTTTGATAATTGCACTGGCTGACATAATCAATTTGAAAGACCCAAACATGCTAATACTGGAGATTTCTGGATTGGTAACAAAGTACCCTGATATAAGGTGAGATTTCAAACCAAGTATACCCAGCATATCTTCAAAATGCATTTGTAATACAGAGATTAATCTATGCCAAGAGACTTATAAAGTGTGTCTTTTCAGTGAGGAGCATGTCTCTGTCCTGATGGATGTAAGAGGGGATATACCCAAAGACGTGCGGAAGTCAGTACTAGATTTTCTGGAGCAGAGCGCCCCACCTTTACCACAAGGATACCGCCCTATATTCACAGAAATCCTTGTGCCCTCTTCCAGCATACAGTTTTGTCTGCCTACTGCAAAATGCACTTGAGAAGCACTCAGAGAAATAACCCTACTGAATTGTATCCGGCCTAATAAACAGGAAATTCATTATTAATTCATCAGTATTCAATAAGACTAGCCTACTCGTTATCTGATCTGTCTTGTCTGAAATTATACTGTGCTCAAATAATATTTACATTTATGATCTCACCAGATGCTTTCTTACAAATGAAAGTGCATAAACAAAATGTACATTCAAGAAATGTTAAAAAATCTTGTTAGTTCTCCAACATGTATGGTAGAAACAAGAGAAAGCAGTGCACATTTTGGCTCATTGTATCTTTAAATATTTGAGGGTGATCATTTTTTCAATGTAAATGTATAACAAAGTTCATGTTACCAAACATAGCATTCTCAAAGCCAATCAATCAATTGTTTTAAAACTTGTATATTGTGGTTGACTATTGGTCAATAAAGCAATGCATATTAAGAAAATATATATAAAACTGATTCATCAATTCATAAAAATTCATTAATTCAAGGGTATAACACTAACAAAACAACCAATAATTTAAATACATGTACATAAAATGGTACATTAATATAATATACCATTGTACGTCCACTGTACCATGACACATTATTTGACACATTATTTCAGCCATAGTAGTTTTAGTAAGGCTAATATTGGACCCGTAGATCTGTACATTGAATAAAACAGGCTATAAAAATGAGGAATATTTTTAAAAAAAATGTATCAAGGTATTATTTTCGATGTTTGATGTTTAGAGGTATTCACCAATTTGGTTTCACTCAATCAATGGGCCAATAACACCATCAGCTAAAAAATAATTAATCAAATATTCAGGCTGTTATAAATACCGGTGATAAAATGTACCATGAAATTTAATATACAAACAATTGCTTCACAATTTATAAAGAACAACTATGATATGTTTTACAATCTTTTCACAAATCCACGAGGAGGGAACCACACATTATAATTTTGCCCAGCTACCTTCAAAAGTGCCCCAGCATGTCAAAGACAAGGACAAGTCAAGCACTTACCTTGAATTAACATCGTAACTTTGACTTGTATGTGATCTGTTTCTGTGTTATTAACACAACGCATAACACACATATGTGAAAAAAAGTATTGTGTATGTAATTTTGGCAACGGCTGAGCCTGGGGAAGGAGAAGAGAGAAGCGGCCTTTAGTGGTCACATGATCTTAGGGGCGTGACTTCATGAAAAACATGGCCGCGCCCGGCGAGATCATGTTGGATTAATCTATTTGTGAACGATCTAGGCATTATACTACAAAATACATTAATAATAAGTTTGTTCACGTATAACTGAAGTGACAATGAAGACATTTTGCGGTCGTGCAAATCCAACAACCGGAGCGCTGGACTGGGTTGAGGAAAGCGAGGAGTATGATTACCATCAGGAGATTGCGAGGTGTGTAAACCATCTCATGTAACATCACCATGCGTCGACAACAACTGATCTTTGCCTGTTTCTGTAGAAGTGATCAATTCTATTGTTTAAAAAAAAAAAAAAACTTATCAAAATGACGTGATGAAAATACTTGACAGTGACTTGTTGCTATGTTTGTTCTTACACGTGGAAAGTGTGTTGTGGTAAAAGTGCTAGATTATCAATTACACTTACTCGAATTGTAGTCATGTGATATCCTATCACATAAAGGGGGTAAATTATATGGACCTGTCCTGATAATGGTTGCTGTGTCTCTTTCCCAGGTCCTGCTATGCAGATATGCTCCATGATAAAGACAGAGTGAGTTTTGTTGTCATGTAATATCGCATAGAAATACTGTAAACCAAAATTGTTCCAAAACAAGTCTAGCTCCTCTGATAAAAATGGGAAACAGAAAATCAGAATGACATAACGGTGAATAAATGACTGATTAGCTTAAAAAAAACTTATCAAAATGACGTGATGAAAATACTTGACAGTGACTTGTTGCTATGTTTGTTCTTACACGTGGAAAGTGTGTTGTGGTAAAAGTGCTAGATTATCAATTACACTTACTCGAATTGTAGTCATGTGATATCCTATCACATAAAGGGGGTAAATTATATGGACCTGTCCTGATAATGGTTGCTGTGTCTCTTTCCCAGGTCCTGCTATGCAGATATGCTCCATGATAAAGACAGGGTGAGTTTTGTTGTCATGTAATATCGCATAGAAATACTGTAAACCACAATTGTTCCAAAACAAGTCTAGCTCCTCTGATAAAAATGGGAAACAGAAAATCAGAATGACATAACGGTGAATAAATGACAGAATGATTAGCTTAATTTGTCATATTTTCCAAAGCTTATAGACATAGAAAAGCTGAAATGTTGCTATTGATTTTTCTGCTTTGTGTACTTAAGAATGAGAAATACTACGAAGGCATTCGAGCAGCGGTGAGCAGAGTAAAGGCACGTGGTGAACGGGTGGTGGTCCTGGACATCGGCACTGGGACGAGTTTGCTCTCCATGATGGCTGTGACGGCTGGAGCTGATTACTGCTATGCTATAGAGGTGCTCACTAATGCTCGTGTGTTGAATGTTGAGAAATAAGATGGAATTTGAATGAAGACAAATATATGAATCCCATGCAGGTGTTTAAACCCATGGCTACTATTAATTATTATTATTAACATATCAAATATTAATATATATATATATATGCGTGTAAAATTATAAAAAAGATAGATAGATAGATAGATAGAGAAAATCAACTTGAATTTGTGTCATATAAATACTGTAATGAACACCATCATCTGTATCACCTTGCATTGCATTCTTGCAAATATAAATGTATTTGTATCTGTAGATGGAGACATGCAAGAAAGAGCTAACATCCTTGTCACGGAGCTGTTTGATACAGAGCTGATCGGTGAAGGAGCGTTGCCCAGCTATGAACATGCACACATGCACCTCGTCCAGGTAAATACAGTTGTAAATTGCAGTTTAACGTTTTGCTGCATCTTTGAAGTGTTTAATGGAGCTGCTCTCACTGGCACAGGCAGGTTGTGAAGCTGTGCCGCATCGTGCAACAATCTATGCCCAGCTGGTGGAGTCGGACATGCTGTGGAAATGGTCACAGCTCCAACCCATAGAGGTGGATGGGAACAAACTCCTGCCCACTCTTGCTGTGGTGAAGTGTGCAGGAGCGCCCTCTGTCTGTGACATCCAGCTTAGCCAGGTGCCACCAGAGTCCTTCACTCCCCTCGGGCCCATTTGTACCATGTTCAGGTACAAGTCTGGGTGTGATTTAGCTCTGTAGATTAAAACATAGTCATCTGGTTTTTCTTCTGTGTAACTCATCTTTCTTCCACTCTAGTGTGGATTTCAGCAAACCGGTTAGCAGCACTGCTCAGTCCTACATGGCACAGTTCAAGGCCCAGACCAGCGGGAGAGCACAGGTGGTCTTATCCTGGTGGGACATCGACATGGACCCTGATGGCAACATTGTGTGCACTATGACCCCCAGTTGGAACTACTCAGATCCTCATACTTACCCTGTATGTACTGGTGCTTAGCCACTAATATTCGTGTATGAATATAAAAATGTATCAAGGTATTATTTTCGATGTTTGATGTTTAGAGGTATTCACCAATTTGGTTTCACTCAATCAATGGGCCAATAACACCATCAGCTAAAAAATAATTAATCAAATATTCAGGCTGTTATAAATACCGGTGATAAAATGTACCATGAAATTTAATATACAAACAATTGCTTCACAATTTATAAAGAACAACTATGATATGTTTTACAATCTTTTCACAAATCCACGAGGAGGGAACCACACATTATAATTTTGCCCAGCTACCTTCAAAAGTGCCCCAGCATGTCAAAGACAAGGACAAGTCAAGCACTTACCTTGAATTAACATCGTAACTTTGGCTTGTATGTGATCTGTTTCTGTGTTATTAACACAACGCATAACACACATATGTGAAAAAAAGTATTGTGTATGTAATTTTGGCAACGGCTGAGCCTGGGGAAGGAGAAGAGAGAAGCGGCCTTTAGTGGTCACATGATCTTAGGGGCGTGACTTCATGAAAAACATGGCCGCGCCCGGCGAGATCATGTTGGATTAATCTATTTGTGAACGATCTAGGCATTATACTACAAAATACATTAATAATAAGTTTGTTCACGTATAACTGAAGTGACAATGAAGACATTTTGCGGTCGTGCAAATCCAACAACCGGAGCGCTGGACTGGGTTGAGGAAAGCGAGGAGTATGATTACCATCAGGAGATTGCGAGGTGTGTAAACCATCTCATGTAACATCACCATGCGTCGACAACAACTGATCTTTGCCTGTTTCTGTAGAAGTGATCAATTCTATTGTTTAAAAAAAAAAAAAAACTTATCAAAATGACGTGATGAAAATACTTGACAGTGACTTGTTGCTATGTTTGTTCTTACACGTGGAAAGTGTGTTGTGGTAAAAGTGCTAGATTATCAATTACACTTACTCGAATTGTAGTCATGTGATATCCTATCACATAAAGGGGGTAAATTATATGGACCTGTCCTGATAATGGTTGCTGTGTCTCTTTCCCAGGTCCTGCTATGCAGATATGCTCCATGATAAAGACAGAGTGAGTTTTGTTGTCATGTAATATCGCATAGAAATACTGTAAACCAAAATTGTTCCAAAACAAGTCTAGCTCCTCTGATAAAAATGGGAAACAGAAAATCAGAATGACATAACGGTGAATAAATGACAGAATGATTAGCTTAATTTGTCATATTTTCCAACGCTTATAGACATAGAAAAGCTGAAATGTTGCTATTGATTTTTCTGCTTTGTGTACTTAAGAATGAGAAATACTACGAAGGCATTCGAGCAGCGGTGAGCAGAGTAAAGGCACGTGGTGAACGGGTGGTGGTCCTGGACATCGGCACTGGGACGAGTTTGCTCTCCATGATGGCTGTGACGGCTGGAGCTGATTACTGCTATGCTATAGAGGTGCTCACTAATGCTCGTGTGTTGAATGTTGAGAAATAAGATGGAATTTGAATGAAGACAAATATATGAATCCCATGCAGGTGTTTAAACCCATGGCACAGGCTGCTACTTGCATCGTGGAGAAGAACGGCTTCTCGGATCAAATCAAGGTCATCAACAAACACTCCACAGAGGTTACAGTTGAACCAGGTTAGCCAACCACCAATATGCTTTTAACACAGGTAGATCAGATAGGTTCAGTGCATTGGTTTTATACAGTAGTAGTAATTATCCAACTGATAATTACAGTCCTGAATGTTGATTGATCATTACAGCTTTCAAGCCATATTAAAATATATGATAATACATTTTATAACTACCTCTTGTGTATATCACGGTGCAAAGATAAGTGTTTAATGGAGCTGCTCTCACTGGCACAGGCAGGTTGTGAAGCTGTGCCGCATCGTGCAACAATCTATGCCCAGCTGGTGGAGTCGGACATGCTGTGGAAATGGTCACAGCTCCAACCCATAGAGATGGATGGGAACAAACTCCTGCCCACTCTTGCTGTGGTGAAGTGTGCAGGAGCGCCCTCTGTCTGTGACATCCAGCTTAGCCAGGTGCCACCAGAGTCCTTCACTCCCCTCGGGCCCATTTGTACCATGTTCAGGTACAAGTCTGGGTGTGATTTAGCTCTGTAGATTAAAACATAGTCATCTGGTTTTTCTTCTGTGTAACTCATCTTTCTTCCACTCTAGTGTGGATTTCAGCAAACCGGTTAGCAGCACTGCTCAGTCCTACATGGCACAGTTCAAGGCCCAGACCAGCGGGAGAGCACAGGTGGTCTTATCCTGGTGGGACATCGACATGGACCCTGATGGCAACATTGTGTGCACTATGGCCCCCAGCTGGAACTACTCAGATCCTCGTTCTTACCCTGTAAGTACTGGTGCTTAGCCACTAATATTAATGTGTGAATATCAAAAATATGTCCAAGTACTTTTGAAAAATAATTCAAAATTAAGAAATTATATTTTGTATAGAAAAGAAGCTTATACTTAGTCCCATTATTTACTTTATTTTCATGGAAATAAACCTGTTAATTTGGTTTTTGAATTGTTTTGAATTTTGTTTGTAATTCTCATTATTGTCATTAATAATTCTTATGAGATCCATTACTGAAATACACAAAATTCTCTCTGGTTCTCTCTGCATATGTAAAGAATAATGTAGAGATGTATAAATAATTTTCATATATTTTTGCATTACAGTATTAAACACACATATATATATATATATATATATATATATATATATATATATAC